AGGGGAATTTATATGAAATTAGGCTATGATGTCAGTAGAATTAGCTTATCTCACCCCAAGAATGATCCCCCCCAGATTATAACATCCGGTTGCAGCACGTTTGACCCATGGCTTTTTATCTCAATGCAGACCCATAAATATTTGAGGGAAGTATTTACCTAAATGATGGCCAGATGAAGGGGAAGCAACCAGACTACACATAGGGATTTTTATTTATTTATTTTTACAAAAATAGCATTTCCTGACAAGTTACAACTTGCAAGGAGCTGGCTGGATAGCTCAGTGGTTTAGATCATTGGTTCTTAACCTTGGGTTACTCAGGAGTTTTGGACTGCAACTCCCAGAAGCCTTCACCACCAGCTGTCCTCACTGGAGTTTCTGGGAGTTGCAGTTCAAAAGCATCCGAGTAACAAAGGTTAAGAACCACTGGTTTAGATCACTGGTTCTTAACCTTGGGTTACTCAGGAGTTTTGGACTGCAACTCCCAGAAGCCTTCACCACCAGCTGTCCTCACTGGAGTTTCTGGGAGTTGCAGTTCAAAAGCATCCGAGTAACAAAGGTTAAGAACCACTGGTTTAGATCACTGGTTCTTAACCTTGGGTTACTCAGGAGTTTTGGACTGCAACTCCCAGAAGCCTTCACCACCAGCTGTCCTCACTGGAGTTTCTGGGAGTTGCAGTTCAAAAGCATCCGAGTAACAAAGGTTAAGAACCACTGGTTTAGATCACTGGTTCTTAACCTTGGGTTACTCAGGAGTTTTGGACTGCAACTCCCAGAAGCCTTCACCACCAGCTGTCCTCACTGGAGTTTCTGGGAGTTGCAGTTCAAAAGCATCCGAGTAACAAAGGTTAAGAACCACTGGTTTAGATCACTGGTTCTTAACCTTGGGTTACTCAGGAGTTTTGGACTGCAACTCCCAGAAGCCTTCACCACCAGCTGTCCTCACTGGAGTTTCTGGGAGTTGCAGTTCAAAAGCATCCGAGTAACAAAGGTTAAGAACCACTGGTTTAGATCACTGGTTCTTAACCTTGGGTTACTCAGGAGTTTTGGACTGCAACTCCCAGAAGCCTTCACCACCAGCTGTCCTCACTGGAGTTTCTGGGAGTTGCAGTTCAAAAGCATCCGAGTAACAAAGGTTAAGAACCACTGGTTTAGATCACTGGTTCTTAACCTTGGGTTACTCAGGAGTTTTGGACTGCAACTCCCAGAAGCCTTCACCACCA